TGCGCCCATGCCCACCTGCCGCTCTGCTGGAGGGCTGTCTGCCCTCACCTCCCTCCCTGTGCCAGCCGTGGCCCCTGGCTCGCTGGGGCCGGGGGGCCTCCGGGGCACAGAAGCAGGACCCTGGGGCTGAGGACAGGCTACAGGGACAGTGGGGGGCCCGGAGAGGTCAGCAGGGCGGCCTGTGGGACGCAGGGCTTCCTGGGACCTTGCACCTGGAGGCGCATCAACAGCTTGGAGTCGGAAGTGTGAGGTGTCGCCTGCTCTGGCTCCTGGTCAGCTGGGTCCTCCACGTGGCGCTGCCAGCGTTAGGGCGGGCAGGCGTGGGCTTTTCTGACTTTCGCCATGAAATCCTGGCCATGGAGCCCAGTGACAGTGTCCTCCGTGAGTGACCTCAGCAGCCTTGGGTCCTTGTGGGTTCAGTTCTTGCTGTCCCCTCATCGTGCCCAACCTTCCCAGGACCTGGAGTCAGGGAGCAGGGGGTCTTCCTTCCTGTGTCAGCCAGTCCTGGTCCTGGCTGGGGGGGGGGGGGGGGGGGGGGGGGGGGGGAGGGGGTGTGGGAGCACGGAGGCTGGAACTCGGGGATGGGGCAGGGCTGTTCCGCCCCTTTGCTCCACTGGCTGGAGTTTGTTCTCAGAGCGTTGGGACATTAAACAAACCTTTTACAACCCACTGGTCCTGGCTTCCTCATTCTGCATCCTTTGGACACTAGGAGCATCCTGGGAGCATCCCAGGCGGGGTGTCTGCCTAGAGCAGGCCGGAGCTCCCTCTGGGTGAGTGTCTGGGAGGAGAGGCTGAGAGAGGCTCCAGGGGCAGAGCCACGTGGTATTCAGAGCCAGGCCCACCCACCCGGTGTGACCCATGTGCTCAGCCCGGGGCTCGGTGGTGATGGATGGGGCTTCTCCTGCAGTTTCCTTTAAAAGAGGCTGCTGCCAGGGGCTGTGGGTGTCCTTCCTGCCAGGAGCCCGTCTGGGAGCCTGGCTGTCGTGGTGGAGACGCAGAGGGAGGTCTGTTGTGGGGCTGGTGGCATTGCTGGCATTCTCTCCATGATGGCTCCGCACTGCCTGCTGGTTCTGGAAGCCTGGCACAGGGGCTTCCCAGGTTGGGCACGGCTCAGCCTCCCTGGTACTGGGACTCCTTGGGAAGGAGGTCAGAGAATCAGCCCATAGCCCCAGTCTTGCTCCTCCCTCGGGGCTCCCGGCCCTCCCTCCTTTCTCTGTCACATGTCATCAGCCCTGGGCCTGATGGCTCTTGCTTGCAATTCTCAATGTTTCCACATCTGCGGTTCCATTTAGCTCCCACAATGACTGTGAAGCGAGCGAGCAGGCACTCGTTCTTCTATTCATTCCACAAACACGAACCTGGTGAGCGTGATGGTTGCCATCAGACCCCTTAACTGCAGAGCATAGAAAGCCTGAGGCCTTGCCATTCTCGACAAGTTCAAGTTCAGTGAGGCAGGGCAGAAATTAGCCCCATGGAGGGGGGAGGAGGCCGGGAGGACAGCTGGATGCCCACACCGTGAGCAGCCCCTGCCCAGTGCCCTTTCCCACCCAGCTCCTCACGTCCCCTCGTCAGTCTCGAGGCTCCACTGCTGGGACTGGGCCACGAAACCTGGCCGTGTTCTGTTGGGTTTTTAGAGCTGAAACGGTAGCGTGTGGGACATTGCTAATCCCTCCCATTCTTGGCCGGAGAGCCTGACACCCCCAGGACGGGCGGCCGGTCCGTTGCTGTCAGCCTCCTGTTCTCTGCCCTCTGGCGTTTCATGGACCCAGGTCCAGGACTGGGGCTCTGTCTCAGGCGGCGGGTACGAGTCTAGGTGAGTGCCAGGCCAGCACCTGGAAGGGAGCTTGACGTTGGTGGCAGCCACTGGTGGTGAGAGGGTTAACTGCTGGCCACCAGCCTGACCCCTTCTGCCCCTGGGGTCTGAGCACAGCCCTGGGCTGAAGGCAGCAGCAGGTGGAGCTGGGAGGAGTCACGAGGTCCAGGCTGCTCTCAGCTCAGTGCCCAGGATCATTAATAACCAAGAGCTGGAAAGATAATTAAGGGCCAAATGTGGAACTGAGCCTGCTGTTGGCCGGCTCCAAGGAGGTGCCGATCCTGCTCCTGGGGCCAGGCTCTTGGCCGCCTTGTTCCTTCTCTAGGAATGAATTCTGGGGACAAGCGAGCCTGATAGGAAGTAGGGGCAGGAAGGACGCTTTCTGCAGCTTCAGAGCTGGGTTGGTCTGGCTTCCCAGCCTCCTGCCCCTCTGAGGGGGCACCGAGGAGGGTCCTGCACTATCCAGGGGAAGGGACGAAGCCTGGCAGGAGGGAGGAGGGGGCTGACCATGTCAGGGAGGCCGGAGATGTCCAATCATCATACACAAGGGCCTGTGTGGCAAAGAGCAAGCTGCATCTACCCAGACAGACACCCCAACGCTGGCGGGACCCAGGGGAGGCCCTTGGTCACTGGTTTCAGGAACAGGGCATCTTCATTCTCTCACCTGTTCCCTCCTGTCGCTGCTGTCGCTGGGCCCCCTGCTGTCTTTCTGAGCAGCTCATGTTTACGCCACCTTTTTCCTGGGAACCAGATGTGTGTGTGTGTGTGTGTGTGTGTTTGGGGGGGCGGGGGCGCAGAGCTTAGAAAAGAACAGGCATGATGTCCTTGGTCAGGAGACCTGGCTTCAGTCTGGCTGTTTGTTTTTTAGTTTATTATTATTTTTAATCTTTATTGTTGAGAGTATTACAGTTGCCCCTCCCTTACCCCCCAATTGCTCCCCCTCCACCCGGTTCCCAACCTGCACCAGGCCTTCACCACCCTACTGTCTGTGTCCATAGGTAAGATCTTTGGTTAATCTCTTCCTACCCCCTCTCCCCCTCCCCTCTGAGATTCATCCGTCTATTCCATGCTTCCATGCCTCTGATTCTATTTTATTCACCAGTTTATTTTGTTCATTAGATTTCTTGTTTATTTTGATTTTTAGATTCAGTTGTTGATAGATATGTATTTGTTGCCATCTTATTGTTCATATTTTTATTTCTTCTTCTTCCTCTTCTTAAAGAATACCCTTCAATATTTCATGTAATACTGGTTTGGTGGGGATGAACTCCTTTAGTTTTTTCTTGTTTGTTCATATTTTATTTCTTCTTCTTCCTCTTCTTAAAGAATACCCTTCAATATTTCATGTAATACTGGTTTGGTGGGGATGAACTCCTTTAGTTTTTTCTTGTTTGTGAAGCTCTTTATTTGACCTTCAATTCTAAATGAGAGCTCTGCTGGGTCGAGTAATCTTGGTTATAGGCCCTTGCTATTCATCACTTTGAATATTTCTTGCCACTTCCTTCTAGCCTGCAGAGTTTCTGTTGAGAAATCAGCTGACAGTCGTATGGGTGCTCCCTTGTAGGTAACTAATTGCTTTTCTCTTGCTGCTTTTAAGGTTTTCTCTTTGTCTTTAGCCCTTGGCATTTTAATTATGATGTGTCTTGATGTGGGGCTCTCTGTGCTTCCTGGACTTGTAAGTCTATTTCTTTCACCAGGTGATTATTTCTTCAAGTAGGTTTTCAATATCTTGCTCTCTCTCATCTCCTTCTGGCACCCCCATAATGCAAATGTTGGTATGCTTGAAGTTGTCCCAGAGGCTCCTTACACTATCTTCATATTTTTGGATTCTTGTTCTTCTAATTGGGTTTTTTTTTTGCTTCTCCATATTCCACATCATTGATTTGATTCTCAGGCTCCTCTACTCTACTGTTGAATCCCTGTAAGTTATTCTTTATTTCAGTTAGTGCTTGCTTCATTTCTGACTGGTTCTTTCTCATGTCTTTGACATTCTCACTAAGATCCTTGAAAGTTCCTGTGTGGGCTGTGTACACAGTCTTGTCGTTGAGCCTTGATTGCTGTTGGTGTCACTGGGAGGAACTGGCGGCTGTGAGGACCAGTTGCAGCTACAGTGGGAGAGCTGCTGTGTAGGAAACAGCTCTATGAGGCAGGACTTGCTTCAGTGGGGCTTTGGTGCTCACTGAGTCTTCCCTTTGAGTGTGTCGCTCAAGGACATGTAGAGTTGTAACCTGCTATGGTCTGTAGCTGTCCTCGGGGTGCACTGGCTCTAGGGCCTCCAGGGAGATGCAGTCAGCCACTGCCTGGGGCCGCCCTGCAGGAGCTATTTGTATTGGGCTTGGAGGTGCCCAGATGAGGCCCAGGCTGCTCTCCTGCCCTGATGCCAGACAATCTAGTTCCTCCCTGTTTGTGTCTGAGTTCCCCAGAGCCTCGCCCTGGCTCTGGAGCTAGAGGAAGCGGGACCTTGTAAGTTCAGCTCATGTGCCAGCCCTTTAAAAGCAACAGCTGTCTCCAGCAGCCTCTGTGTCTCTCAGCCCCCAATCCCTGCTGGTTTTTACAGCCTGTAGTTACGGGGACTTCTTTTCCCAGCTCTGGGAGCCTGGGCTGGGGGGTCTGGTGTGGGGTTTGGACCCCTTGCTCCTCATGGGGGGCCTCTGCATAGATGATCTCCCTCCCAATTAGAAAAAAGGCGCATGAGGGGGTCAGACCAGCCGGTTCTGAGGCTCCGCCCCTCCGACCAGTGTCAAAGTGCTTTCTCCTTTTCTTCTCTAGTTGTAGAACTTCCGTTCCGCCAGCTCTACGGCGGTTCTGAATGATGGTTGTTCTGTATTTTAGTTGTAGTTTTGATGTGGTTGTGGGAGGCGGTGAGTACAGGCCTTGGTTCTCTTCACAGCCTGGCTCTTTGAAGTTTCCTGGGGTTGGGGATCCAGAGACCACCCCCTCCCAAAGACCCCTAGATCCTGAGAATTCAGTGCCCGTTTCTGAACTGTAGCAGGCAGTTGCCACTAGAAGACACTTGACTAATTAGGAGGCTATGAAACCAACAGGTGCCTGGGGACCCAAACAGGACGTTCTCGGTGAGTCTGGGGTTGTGGCCTCCCGCAGCCCTGAATTTGGTCTTGGAAGAAGCTTTCCCGTGGCCATTAGCACGGCTGGGCCAGGCATCAGTCCTGCTCAGGAACCACGCCCCCGGCAGGCCTGGTGCCCGCGTCCCCGTCTCCCAGCCCTAGAGCCTGGCACTGCTTGGTTCTTGCCCTCGGCTGGTTCCCTCTGAGGGGCAGCCCTGTCCTCATCTCTATGGGCTTAGCCTCAGCCTGTTGCTGGGGCTGCTCCCAGCCCCCCTGTGGCGAGAACAGCTGTGTGACTAAGGGCCTGGCAAGGCGCCCATTGCCCACCTTCCACCGCTCAGCAGGGCCTCCCAGCCGGCCACCTGCCCCATCCATACGCCCAAAGCGGCCTCTCTGGCCGCAGGTGAGGGAGCAGCAGGAGCTGCTGGCACGGAGCTTCAGGGCTTCGGCAGGGGACGAGGCAGAGAACACCAGCTCCCACCTTGGCCTGGCCTGACCTCGGGGCCGGTGGCAGAGGATGTCGCGTGAAGGCTGCGGAGTCTTCAGTGTCCTCCACAGTGAAGCTTGCACCTGGGCCAGGCCGGGCCGGCCTCCTCTTCTGCCCTCCCACCCCCGACCCCCTGGGGCCCTTCTAGAAAGTGGAAACCATGACCCAACTGCCCGCCTCACCCAGCAGATGTGACAACAAATGTGCTTGATGCACACGGTGAGCAAGCATCCCCTGGGACGTGCCCTCTCCCTCCACCGGGCTCTGTGGCTCTGTGACCCCATCTGACCTCCAGCAGGACAGATAGCAGGACTCGGGGCCCAGGAACCCAGACAGTGGCAGTGGGGTGCACCCGGCTTGCTATCAGTGATGTGGTCACTTAGGGCCAATTCCCTCCAGGACGGGGCTGCCTGGCGTGGAGGGAACCGCAGCCACCAGACTCCACCGCTGTGGCTCCAGATTGCCACATAAATCAACCTGGGCTTTATGACGCTAATACACTCACATCCAGAATTTGGGGTGGCGCCGGGGAAGCAGGGTGATTTAATTTGCTTTGTCCTTAAGCAAAAGGAAACGGAACGGAGAAGGTAAGTACAGATGTTTTAATTGAGTTGTCAGCAGCGGGGCAGCTCCAGGGAGGCCTGCACCACGGGGCTGGTCGACCTCAAGGCTCTCCCTGCTCTGCCCACCTCAGGCCGGGCCTCCTGGAAAGAAGCCACAACGGCAGATGGAGGTGAATGGGAAGCGATGACACACGGGGACAAGATGAGAACGGAAGACGTGGGACCACAGTGAGAAAGTGGGTCACAGGGTTCTCACAGGCTGGGCCAAAGGTGGGGCTAGTGCTGCCCGTGGACTCCGTGTCCTTTTGCCCCGAGACCACCACGGGCCCCAGGACACCCAGTGTCACCACTCTGTCCACGATACAAAGCTGGTGCAATGCGGGGGAGGCAGCGGAAGTTCCCTCATGAGGGCTGAGCAAGGCACTGAAATCGAGAGAAAGGGGCAGGGGCCCGAGAGCCCCGCTCAGAGGCAGCTCCTGGCCCAGCTGCTGGGGCTCCGGGCAGGTGAGGGTGGGCCCGGGGTGGGGGCAGCAGGAGGGTCAGAAGGAGCCCAGGCCTGAAGCAGAAGGCACATTGAAATGCAGAGTTCATCAGTCACCTGCTCCGGGAAGGCTGCCCGGAGGTGCATGCATGATGGCGAGGAGGGGGTTACGGGAGAGCTGGCGAGGTGGGTGGGAACCCGGCCCTCCCTCCATGGGAACGGTGGCCTGTGCTCCAACTCACCCCATGGCGCCCAAGGGACATGCAGTGTGTGAGCACTGAGCACCCACAGCCTGGCACCGTCAGTGCCGGAGCAGGGGCAGGGCAGGCCTGGCTGCCTACAGGGTGGACCACAGAGGCCACACACTGCTACATGCCGTGGTGCCCCCAAGTCGCAGCCGTGGTGGTGGGGCTAGCTCCCCGTTACTGGCCCTTACACACTGCCCCCCGCCCTGCAGGAGGCCCCAAGCACCCCAGCAGGGTGGTCAGAGAGCAGAGGACCCTTCCAGGGGTCACAGCTCTGGGCTCTAAATCTGTACGCGCTGCTGCGCCTGTGAGAGGGCTGCTCCGTGTTGTCGTGGCTCAGGAGCCCCGAGCGGGAGCTGGCGCCCACAGCAAGGGCCTCACAGCCCTGGTCTGGGGACCCTGGTGCCCATCAGCACCTCCTGTTCTTGTCATCAGGGCGGACCAGGCCCTCCCTGAGGAGTCACTGGCAGGCCCAGCGGGGAGGGGGGCTGGGGCCCGGGGTTCATCCTGAGGAGGCAGCGTCTATGAAGTGGATTTCCCAGACCAGGAGGCGGGAGGGCTGGGAGCAGGGGGCAGGGAGACTCGTATAAATAGTGGCAGTGCCAGCGCTGCGTCTCCACGGAGCAGGGAGAGGAGCCCGCCGTGGCGGGGTGATGGGGTGATGGGGCGTGTGTAAAGCAGGGGGTGACTCCGGGAGCCGGTCCTGGAGTCTGGGAGAGCCTTGTGCGGCGAGGTGCAGGCTGGGTGGAAGGAAGCCGGGTGGGGAGATCCCAGCTAGATGTGCAGGGTCCCCTCCCAGAGCCTGGCCTCACCCGCCCTGTGGAGAGAGACCTGGGAGGCAACTAGACACGGCCTCTGCAGGTGGGGGCCGCGGCGGGGCCCCACCCCTCTCGTCAGCAGACACGCCTGCCATCAGATCTTGGTCTCACTGAGGATGATGTTGGCGGTGACGAAGAAGAAGCAGGAGAAAGCCCAGAGCAGCACGAAGCCCACCCAGAAGGTGTGGTGGAACGGGGACCTGTGCTTGTTGGCGGCCCGGGGGCCGAGGGCCAGCTGGGTGTCCTTGCGGCAGAGGTACACCAGGAAGGCGGGGATCACGTACTGGATGCCCGTGCCTGCGTAGGCGCCCGTGATGCCCACCAGGGACTCCAGGTCGTGGGTGCAGAAGGCCACCAGCACCGGGGGCACCAGGGTGATGGTGGGGAACACCACGCGGTCCACCACCCAGGGGTACGTGCCGCCCTCGCGGTGGAAGAGCGTCTTCCAGTTGTTGCGCAGGGTCACGGCGATGATGGGGAAGTTGGTGCTGATGGTGAAGACGGGGAAGAGGCCCAGGAAGAAGCGCACGGCGGCCACGCTCACGATGTCGCAGCTCGCGAAGTTGAGGGTGTACATGTCCAGGAGGCTGTCGCCGCGGAAGGAGAAGATGGCGGTGAAGGAGAGGAGGCCGTAGAAGGCCAGGATCAGCACGTAGTCCAGGAAGACGAGGCGCGTGAGGTGGCGCTTGGAGGAGACGGGCGTGAGGAGGGACGGCAGGGAGTGCTGGCACATGAAGGAGTACACGCACACCCCGAACAGGTTCCGGACCCCGGAGAGGTCAGCCAGGGGCGGGTGCCCCTCCCCGTGCCCGCGCCCGATGCGGACCAGGGCCAGCACGATCATGATGGCGAAAGCTGCAAAACCAACGAACGACAGGGTGTCAGCAGCAGAGGCAGCCCGCCCGACAGTGTCTGGTCTGGGGGCGCCCCCAAGGGACTGGAGCCCCAGGAGCAGGAACTGTTCAATGCATGTGACCCTGACAGCCACATTCTGGAGCAGGTCAGCAGTTGCTACGGATCTTATGAACACACTGGGCGTCCCCTCCCCATGTCCCGTTCACCCCCCACACCAGCAGGTGAAGCCCACGGGGACACCTGCCCTTTCTTGGTGACTGACACAGGCATAAAGGAGCAGTGGGCTGCCAGCTGGCCCCTCAGGGGCTCTGGGCTCCCCCGGGTGGAGGCTGGGGTCTCCGCATTGTCCCCTCAGGCCACATCACACCCGGCTCCCTTCGCTGGGACTCACAGGAAGCCAGGGTGACCGTCGCTCTGCCTTCCCACAATGACACTGGGAAGTGGAACCGACGGGGACATCATCCATTACTTTAAATCAGAGCTGCCTGCCACCATTGGGGACAGGAGGGAGGAGGGGGCGAGGGGACAGGCCTATGAAAATTGCCAATAAATAAAATGATTTGTTTCGGACTCTCAGCCCACCCCAGTCCCTGCTGCTCACTCCTGCCACTGAGGGCCCGCGACTCTCGCCGCCCCAGGGACACCACAAATCTCGCCAGCTCTGGTCAGTCAAGGGGAACGCGCAGCCACTTCCTCTCTAGAGGTCGCAGCCCAGGAGCTGCCTCTGGCTTAACCCTCGAGGGGGCTGGGGGGCCTGTGACAGGACACCCCTTGGGGCCTCCCCGCTCCACAGGATGCCCAGGACCCCGGCAGTCTGCCTCGTTATTTTTGGGGGTGCGTGCAGGGCCAGGATGTGAGGGTGGGGACGGGGGAAGGCCGGAGGGGGTGGAGGTGGAGTTCCCTGTGCCAGGAGTCTGTCCTCGGCCAGAAAGGGTTATAAAGCTGAGCTGAGCAGTCGGGCGGCTGCAGCGGGGAGACCGGGGAGACCGGGGGCCTGGCTGCCTGGTGATTAGCTATTCAAGAGGCTGCAGCTGATGCTGTCGCCACAGGCAGGGCACTGGGGTCAGAGCAAAGGGGACAGCTGCTGTAAGGCGAGATTCAGATCCTGCTGTGCCTCTCCCGTCTCGGGGTGTCCCCTCGTGACCTGGTGCTCCTCCGGCCTGGGCCAAGGTCAGCCCTGACTCGGAAAGAGGCCAGTGCAGAACCCTCTTGGTTCTTGCTGGCCGTGGCCTCAGATCCTGGAGCGGTGAGCACGTGGGAGGCAGAAGCGGCTGTCGGATGTGAGTGTCTCCAATCACGGCTCTCCGGCCGGGATGCTGGCTTGTGCTTCTCGGCCCTAAATCTCCAAGAGGCTGTAAGAAACGCAGGCGGAAACTGGTTTGTGGGCTGCCTGGGTTCTGCTTCTTGCAGATAAACCAGTTTATGAAGCAGGTTTCTGAAGATCTTCAGAGATGGTGGTCTTGCTGTATGAATAATCCACAAAAAGGGACCACTTGGGTTTCTGCTGAACCTGACCCCCTCGTAGCCCATGCTGGGTGAGCCCTGTGGCTTCTGGAGGACTCCGGCTCCCTCCTCCTCCTCCTCCTCCTCCTCATCACCCGGAGGCAGAGAAGGATGTTGCCATAATGAAGCTGCAGGCCGGAGATTCTGCTCTGCGGCTACATTATTTATCCCGAAGGACTCAGAGCAGAGCCTCCCCTCCGAGCAGAGGGAGGAGGCTGCTGATAAAGGGCAGGCGTTGGCGTCTCTGAAGCAATCAAGTCTTAAGTAGGAAATCAAGAGTTCGGGCCTCTTCATCCTTCAACTCTCCGCATCGTGGCCCGCGGCGCCGGGGAGGGGAGGGTCTCCATTTTTCATCCCCGGCTGTCACAGCCCGCTCCGTCTGTCATCGCCGGGAGACGGGCCGAGGGGCCTCTGGCCGCCGGCCGACTAATCTTCCTGAGATTGGAAACTAAAACCCGGCACTGTCACCTCTCCTGAAGGCTGTCAGCCGACTCCTCTTGTTATGAATGGTCTCCCCACAATTCTGTGTCGAAGCCCTGACCCCCCGGGTGACTGTACCTGCAGATGGGCCTAGAAGGAGGTAAGGAAGGGGGAATGAGGCCAGAGGGGTGGCCCTAACCTGACAGGACCGGTGCTATGAGAGAAGGAAGAGACGCCAGCTGCTCTCTCCCTGCACGGAGAGGCCACATGAGGACACAGCGAGAAGGTGGTCGTCGTTGACAAGTCAGAAAAAGAGGCCTCCCCAGACACCAACCCTGCCAGCACCGTGATCTTAGGCTCCCAGCTCCAGAACTGAGAAAACACACTTCTGTTGTTGAAGCCGTCAGCTTGTGGTGGGGTGTTATGGCGGCCTGAGCTAAGACGGCTCTTAAGCAGCCGCTGGATCAGAGAGAACGCAGGCGGGGGGAGAGGGGGGGGACTTGATTCGGCCCCTGGAATCCCCTAAGCTGAATGTCAATTCCCAGGCCCTGGGCCTTCTATGGGCAACACTGGCTCTGAAGACGTACGTGGCTGCCGGACTGTCTGAGGCTGCAGCTGCCCGGGCCCATGTGAAGCCCAGCGCTGCAGAGGCACCCCTGTACCCACTGTTGGTCAGATGCCTCACCCCATCAGCTACTGGGGCCTTATCCTTCCCTTCCCTTGCCCCTGTCCTGACAGCTGGCCCGTCAACTTCCTGGGCAGAGAAGGAGTCCTCCTCCCATCAGCGCACATCTCAGCCAGTCCCAGCCACTCGCAGAGCAGAGCTGCCGACAACCAGGGCTGCTGGGCGGGGGGCGGGGGGCGGGGGGGGAAATGCCAGGCAGAGCTCTGAGGCAGGGCTGCTGGGCGGGGGGCGGGGGGCGGGGGGGGAAATGCCAGGCAGAGCTCTGAGGCTGGTCCTGCTGCTAAGGAAAAGGCTCACTTGTGGCACGACGCTGACTCTTCACCAAACTTTAATTACGTGTCTACTCTACCCCAAGAGCCTTAAGACAGAAACCCCGGGTTCCTCTCCTTTAAACTGACCTCTGTGTTTGCAGAGAGAACTTTTCGAAAACCAAGAATAAAATTAAGACCAAAATGAAATATACACATAAAGGTTTTCCTGGATCCCCTCCCCGGGCTGTGTGACCAGAGAAGCTGGATGCTCCAGGGCCCAGGAGAGCCCTGGACGGTGGCCCAGAGGGAGGCCTGGCGGCCTGCTCAGAAGGGCTGGTGGTTATCCTCACTTTGGAAGGGGGTCCTTCCCTGCCCTCTGAGGAGCACGCACGGAGGGAGAGGCTGTGAAGGAATTCGTGCACCACGCTGGCGTGCGGAACCAACAGGATGTGAACAGATGGCCCCGACAGAGACCCTGGCGGCTGGTGGTGACAGATCAGAGCAGTCCCAGCAGGAGACACTCCACCGAGATCGTCAGGGATCTGCAGGGGGGTCAGCACGCGGCCACAGATCATTCTGGGGACAGGTGAAACCAGAGCCCTATGTTCCCTCCTGGGTGAAGGTCCCCAGCAGGAGACCTTCTGCCACTTGGGCCACCAAGTTACACCCCCCCCTCGGACTAGAGGACAAATATGGGGCACCTGCCAGGACGGGTGGGAGGGCAGGGCCGAGGAACTTCCCAAGGCAGCTCAGGTTGATCCGCGGACGCTCGCCGGCTCGGGGAGGACGGCTGACCCACTTTGAGAGGAGGAGACGGAGGAGAGGAGGAGACGAGCAGCGTGCGTGGTGGCTGCTCTGAATACACAATCAGAGGGAAGGCAGCCCTGTGGGTCCCAGCAGCCCAGACCCAGACCGAGGAGGGCAGCCGCGCTGCAGAGCAGTGCTTATTAGAAAGAATCAGTGTTTTAATAACGCCAAATGGGGCGCCCTGAGCAGAGCCAGCTGTCTGTGTCCCCAGCTGGGAGGCGTCTGCTGGCGTCTCTGGGGGAAGCTGGTAATGGGAGTGAAGGAGTGACACTCCCAGCCAGTGTCCCAGGTGGGAAAGGTCTACACCAAGCATGACAAACTCAAAGGCTAACATGGGCCACATAAACGAGGCATGCTGCCTGCGGGCCGCGAGTCTGACACGCTTGGTCTACACTCATCATTTGAGCAGCTTGGGGCGTGGGCTCTAAAGCCACAGCCGCTGGGCCTGGGGGCATGAAGGACAGCACTTTGGGCTGCGTCTCTCTGGGTGACCCTGGTCTGCTGGCCACTGACAGGGAGAGCGGTAGGAGCTACAGAGGAAGCCTCCGGCATCTCTGTGTGGGGGCTGCTTCTCCTTTCTCTGGGGCTCAGGCCGCCTCCAGGGCAGTGGGGTTGCCCCGGGACCAGCGCTGGCCTGTTCAGGAAGCGCACACGGGGAGGAGGTGCAGAGGGAGTGGCTGGCCGGAGCCCATGCTGTGTGCTCGGGAGCCTGTGGCTGACCTGAAGCAGCTGCCGGGGGTGAGCGGCCGTATGGCCACCGGAGACCCTCCTTGCACGGGTGAATTCAGAGGCATTTGCAGCCTGGGTCTGCCAGACTGACCAGCCTGGTCTCCCCAGGACTTGTTTGGGGAGCAAAAGAAATGCATCAACACTGGTACCTGTCCTACGTGTTCTGACATTTTCGCCGACAAGTGCTATTCGAAAAGGCCATCCAACCCTCTCAGTCCCATTGGGGCAGCGCGAGGGGCTTCCGGCTAATGGCTGAGGGAGGGCGGAGGGTGCGGAGAAAGCAGGGCTGGCCCTGAGCTCCGGGGCCTGCTCGGGGCGGGCTCCTGCAGTCCTCCCGCCTGGGGTTTCAACAGATGGCAGAACAAATTCCTAATTAAGCACAAGAAAGCTTCCGGCTCAGTACATCTATGATTTTCCAGTTCCTTTGCTGCTCATTTTCCCCTTTTGTTTCTCTAGAACCCAAGCCAGCTTATTGCCACCCTGAGCGCCTCACTCTCGGTCAGACGCCTGGGCCCTGAGACGGGAGAGGGAAGAGGGGAGTGTGCCGGAGGGTCACGGGGCCACGGTGCGCAGCTGCTTTTCAAAGGCAACGTGAAAAGCAAGTTCATTATAACTGACAACTTGGTGCCGACTTGAGAGACAAGGCTTTGGTGCTCACTGCCTTTGAGGAGTTCTAGAAACCTCACCTGGGGTGCACCTGGGCTAGAGAAGACGCCCTTCACAGCCCCCCTTCCAACGGCCTGCAGACCCCCAGGGGGCAGGCAGCCCCTCCCACAGTGGGACGGCCTGGCCAGGGTGCTTGGTGTCCCCGATACCCCCTGATGCTGCGCTGTTGTCTCTCACAGCTCCACAGGAGAAGTGCCCCAGGGGCTACGGTGCCCGCTGGGGATGGGCCCCTTGGCTGGGCTGCATTTTAGACTTGACTGGGCGACCTTCTCTTACGTGAGAGGTTTACTTCCCAAGCCCAGAGGTCTGTCTCGGAGAAAACTGCCGGTGCCGTCACCCAGAGCCTCTGGAGGACAGGCTGCTGGCTATCTCTCGGATCAAGGGGAGAAAAGAGGCAAATGACTTGCAGAGAGGACGCTGCCCAGACAATGTCACCTCCCAAACATGATGTGGGTGACCTTCACGAGCTGGGCTCCGCCTCAAACCCTCTCAAGGCCACTGCCACTGGCCGTGCTGCGCTTCAGGGGCTGCCTCCCTGGGAGGGCTGGGGCTTCCAGGGTGTGGGGACCCCGAGGATTCCCACTGTGTCCCTGCGCCAACGAGCAGCCACCCTGCTGCTCTGGGGGAGGGGCCCTGGTTGGGAGAAAGAGAGGCAGAATGGGTCACCTGGGCTGGGTGGCCTGAGCCCTGGCAAAGAGCAGTGGGTTGTCTAAAGCAACCCAGCTGCCGACTCTGCTCTGTTCAAGGACACCAACAGTAGGGGGGGGGGGCAAGGGGGGGGCGGTCAGGGTGTTTCCATTCCCTTGGAGGCCCCCGGGGCCTGCCTCTCCTCTGCAGGTGGGGGCTGTGCTGACCCGAATCTGGGGGAGCCTCGTATCCAGTCAGCCTCCTCCCCACCCTCTTACAATCTTCTCTCTTCTAATGAGCGTATTGCTCATCAGAGGACTCTGTTACACTGAACAGGCACTGGGGTGCCACAGAGGCCATTAACGGTCATTATCCGCGCCATCCCCTCGTGGGTGGCACGGGAATCCATCATGCCAGCTAACGCACGGCATCCCTCCCCCCGCCCCCTGCTCCTGCCGCCTCATGAGAGGGAGAGGGGCCGGGCACCGGCGGCGTTTAACTAGCCCCTTCCCATCGCCAAGGCAGCCAATCCCGAGCCGCGGGGCCAGGTTTTCAGGACTTTGGGCCCGGCTGCTGGGAGAGCAGATTAAGCCAGGGAGGCCAGGAGGGAGAAGGTTTTGCCTTAAACGCTGCTTTCCTGAGAAAACTCCTTCTGAAGGTCACTAGGGTTCGCAGACACGGCCACTGATCCCGGACTTTTGGTCACAATCCCTCCTGCACCCAGGGAGGCTCCATGCCCACACTGTGCCCCTGGAGCTGGCGCGACCCTCATGTTCCAAGCAACGCATGCTCATTTCCCCAGGTGGTTGCGTTCATTTCACCCAGGACTTTGGGGCTCGTGAATGAAACGTGAACACAGCACCCTGCAGGTGAGGACAGCTCAGACCCATGCATGGGGCAGACAGGAATCTCGCCCCACCCAGATGTCACCCAGGTGTCCTCCTGTCCCTCATCTTGATGGAGGCTGACGGACAGGCTCATCCAGTTACAGAGGCCCCAAAGCTTACCCTCCAGACCACTCAGCCCGCGCCCATTCCCTTGCAAGGAAGGACCAAGAGCGGGAAGAAGTTACAGGCTGGGGGGTCTGGCTCAAGCCAAGGCAGAACTCCCAGCACTAAGGACCCCACTGAGCAGCTCTGAGCGCGTGGGAGCCTTCCCATCGGCAGCTCCCGTCCCCATGGCCTGCAGGGTGCGGCTGGCCTGGAGCACGGCCACGTCCCTTCCAGCTGAAGATGCCAGGACTCCCGTGAGGCGGAAGTCCCCTTACGCTGGGGTCTGTCATCCCGAGTGGGGACCAGGGGACTGCAGGTGCCAGAATTGCTGGAAATCATTTGGATCAGAAACGGTCTGAGCTCGTCATGACCTAGTGCTGAGCGCCGGCTGCAATGCGGAGCGATGAGGGGCGGACGCCTGGGAGAGGGAGTGGGGGACAGGGGTCAGAGGGAGTCTGGGACCATCCTCTTTCACAGGAAGGGGGAGTCCCCACCAGAACAGCAACAGTGGGTTTTGCTTTTAGATCAAAACAAGCCTGCAGCGTCAACTCATGAACCAGAAGGTCATGGGTTCGATTCCCAGTCAAAGCACATGCCCAGGTTGTGGGCTCGATCCCCAGTGTGGGGTGTGCAGGCAGCCAATCAATGATTCTCTCTCATCATTAATGTTTCTCTCTCTCTCTCCCTTTCCCTTCCTCTCTGAAATCAATAAGAATATATATTAAAACAAAACAAAAAACAAGCGTGCAACTGGTCCCAGAGCACATGCCAGCCGAGGGGGCAGCAGGGAGCCCACACCCTCCTGTCCTGGGTCCAGGTGGTCAGCAGCCCAGGCCGCCAGGGTCGCTGGCAGAATGGAGTGGGGGAATGGATGAGCACCCCACCACACACCTGATTTAAGGGGAGACCCCCCACCCAGGAAAGCAGTGCTCCTGCTCAGAGGGGAGCCAGGCAGTCAGAGGGCACTGTGGATGAGGGGTCTTCACACCCTGGTGGCTGGGGATGCGATGGGGGGCGCCACGCCCACTGGTTGATGGCACAGCTCTCATGCCCGAAGGGAGCAGGGCCCCAACCCAGGCCTTTAGGGGTCCAGCCTCCAGTCCAGGTCAGTGGGGAGGGACCGGCGCGGGCGTGTGAAAGAGGCTGGTCCCAGACTCCGCAGTCCCAGGCCTGGCTCCAGCTCCATCCACACTACCTGATCGTGAAGTGACGTAACTTTTCGGGACTGAATTTCCCCACCAGTAGGAAGGCAGGCGGAGCACGGGCCCTCCTTGCCCCCGGGGAAGGGAGCCCACAGAACCCACACCATGTTCCTGGCTGTCTCAGAGGGTGAAGGAAGGGCCGAGGGGAGAAGGGAGAGATGGAGCTGTTCTCAGACTCACCGACCCATCGCATCAGGGAGGTCAGGATCTGCAGGTACTTGGTCTTCTGGACGTCAAAGAAGGTGAAGGGTCCCAGGAGGAGAGTGAAGACAGCCTGGGTGACAAACACAGGAGTGAGGGGGACACAGGGGCCGGGCCGCACCGGGCACGCCATGTGTGTGTGAGTGTGTGTGTGTGTGTGTGTACCACACACCGTTCACGCAGCCGCTGCCCCGGGCCGGGCCAGTCCTGACCCAGGTGCACCTGGACTGCAGAGGCTCCCCGGGGTCAGACGGCATCCGTGTGGGTTTCCCGTGTCATGCGCACAGGAGCTAGAGCCACGCTTCTCTGCCCATCCTCACACTCACTGTCCTGAGACTTCTGGAAAGGGGTTTCCAGACAAGTCCCAGGCGACACCCTGGGGACGTCACCCATTCACTTATCTTCAGCAAACACTGACGAGGGAGGCACAGCCTGGCACTGAGTGGGCACGAGCGTGGATTAGGTCTGAGGCGGCAGGAAGAGGAGGGTGGGAAGTGGCACCAGCCACGCCTCGGGCACTCAGGGCTTCCTGGGAGGGGGGGGCAGGGTCCTGACAACACAGTGGAGGGGAGGGGGCGCCCTTCTGAAGGGCTCAGAGGAAAGGCTCAATCAGGATGTCGTTAACCAGCGATGTTTTGTGTGTTTTTTAAAAAAAATTTATTATTGATTTCAGAGAGAGGAAGGGAGAGGGAGAGAGAGAATCACAAATTAGCTGCCTCCTGCACACCTGCTACTGGGGATGGAGCCCGGAACGGGGCATGTGCCCTGACTGGGAATCGAACCGTGACCTCCTGGTTCATAGGTCGATGCTCAACCACTGAGCCACGCCAGCCAGGCAACCAGCAATGTTTTTACCTGACAGAGAAGGGGAAGCAGGGAGAACAGAGCCCGTGGCTTCCAGGGCAAGTCCTCGGAGAAGGACCCCAGCCCCAGAAGAGCCAGGCCGCACCCGGGAGGGGGCGTGGAGAGTCTGGGAGTGGGGAGCCGGACCGAGAAGGGGGCACTGCGGGCTCCTCGGTTCTTTCTCTTGGGAGAACAGGGGAGAGCGAATGTTTACTTTAAGAAAATGAAGAAATCCAAAGCCTGTCTTAACAGGGAAATGCGAATCCTCTTTGCAAAAGAAAATGGGGTAAAGGCGGCACCTCGGAGCCTGGGGCTGGGAGGGGGAGGGGAGGATTTCCACGCCAAATTGGGTGCTCAGGGAGAGAGGAATTAAACGCCGCTGGTTGGCGTTGCGCTGATGGCACCATTTCCAATCTGCCACTCGGAAGCGGCGGCGGCATCAGACCTTATTAACATTTACACGGTGCCATTTTACCACGTTAATGCTAATGACACTCGCCAGAGAGATGCAGCCAGCCGGCTCCCAAGGCGAGTGTGGGGAGCGGGGCCCACCCTGGGGAGCCGGCCCGGTCCTGTGACCTGGGTGAACATATCGCAGCTGCGGGGTCTGCCCTGTGCCAGGCAGGCGGGACCCCACAGAAGGGGGGCTGAGCCCGCCCCTCCACCGCCCCCGTGGCACGGAGAGCAGGATGTGGAACAAGCTGTGACCTCTTATCCAAGCCCATCATCACTGTGCGAGTGAATGACAGGAAGGACTAAAGTGGCGGCTTGAGAAGGCTCTAATTAGCGGGGGTCGAGGGGCCTGGCCGTGGTCCACGGGGCTGGGAGGCTTCTGGCAAGAGTTTTCCGCTCCGCTGGGGCCCAGCACCAGATCTGCTTCTGTTCCGGGGAGACAGAAGCGTCTCATCAGGCCAGGGAGGGGGCTGGGGGCCAGGAAGGGGCGGGACCACCCCCCGCTTTGAGAGCAAGTTTGTGAGCAGCACCGTCAGCGGGTCATTTAGGAAAATGACTGCTTCAGGGAGACCGTCCACCGATGAGCTTCCCTTCTGAGGGACGGGAGGGGTTGTCATGTGAAGACACATATGAAGCCACTGGGCACAAGAGTCCCCCAGTGACCGTGGCCTGACCTGGACGCCTATTGTGCCCAGGGCGAGGTGGTCGGCGTTTCGCCTCAGACCTGTGATGTCTCCCACTGAAACGGGCGCTCCAGCTGTGGGTGCTGGGGGTTTCCTGGGGGTGGCCTATGCGGGAGGTCAGCTGTCATCTCTGAAGGCTCAGGACTGGGCTTTAGAAAGCCCCGCTATGTAAACATGGGGGGGCGGGGAGCGGTAGGAGCAGAGCCAGCCCCAGGCAGGGGATTTCACCTCCGCAGGCTGCACAGGCCCTTCCTCCAGGAGGCCATCTCCTGCTGAACCCACCTTCGTCCTCCTCCCAGCAGAGGTTTATCCAGACCCTACCACCCAGGAGTCCCATTCTTATAAGCCTGTCGGACGGGATCCAGCCCATGAGAGCATCCTCTAGTCCAGTGGTTCTCAACCTTCCTAATGCCGCGACCCTTTAATACAGTTCCTCATGTCGTGGTGACCCCCAACCATAAAATTATTTTCGTTGCTACTTCATCACTGTAATTTTGCTACTGTTATGAATCGTAATGTAAATATCTGATATGCAGGATGTATTTTCATTGTTACAAATTGAACATAATTAAAGCATAGTGACTAATCACAAAAAACAATATGTAATTATATATGTGTTTTCCGATGGTCTGTTGCGACCCACAGGTTGAGAACCGCTGCTCTAGTTACAGAGACCGCACGTAGGGACACATCTCGAGGAGGCAGAGTAAGAGCTGCCCGTGAGGTGCCTGTGCAGTGACAGGAGAGTCGAGAGGCCCGCAGACGAGGGCCCGCCCCTGCCCGCGCCGGGCACTCCGTGTCCAGTTCTAGCCTCCGAGTGGGAACAGGTGGTGAAGGGCTCTTCTGGGAGCCCTGTTTGCTCAGCAGCTGCGACATCCATGGCTGGGCGGCAGCTGGGATGTGGTTTCTTTTTCTTTTAATGCTCAGGACCACAGACTGACCGTGCCGCGGGGGAGGGTGGGTGCAGGGCCACTTGAAGGAAGTGCACCCAGACCGGCCGCTGGCTCCCACACCAGAGTGCGCCCAGGCCCAGACGCACGGCACAAGCTGGGGCTCATCGAGGAACAGGTGTCCTCTGCAAATGAGCCAGAGCCATTGGGCAACGGCAGGGCTGCATCCGACTGGGGAAGGAAGGACGGAGGATCCAGAGCAGCAGCGCGGGGCTGCCAGGTCTTCAGGAAGAAAGGGGGCGGGGCACAGGGGACAGAGGGGCCCCAGCGTCCCGATGGTCCAGCACGGACAGAACTCATCTCTGAACGCAGTACAGCCACATGCGGCCCCTTCTGTTGTCCCTTCCCTTTTTAAAAAAGAAGAAATAAAAAGCCAGCACCCAGCTAGGGAATGGGAGCCACACGCGGTGCTCCCTAAGAGGTGGATCTGTAAGTCAGGGGCTCTCAACTCAGACCTGCTGAGCCGGAGCTGCGTCCCCCACCTGCCTCCCTCCAACTCCTCGAGTGTTACCCCCACAGCCCACCGCACTGCGGGGGGAAGGCTCCAGCGCCACTCAGTCCTGTTGCACACCCAGAGCCCAGGACAGGCACGCACTGTGTCTTTGCTTAACTGCACAAAAGGGGAAAGTGGGGGTGCGCGTGTCAACATTAGCACAAAAGCAAAGCAGCTAGATGCCTCTCTCCCCATCCCCAAATTCCTCTGCATGTTTCCCTGGTCAGAGAAACAAAACGGAAACTTAAACTAGGAGCCAATCCCCAACTGAACCCCAGCGAACAGACTGCACACCCTCGGGGCCCCGCCTTCCGCCTGCGGATCCATCGCATCAGCCGAGGCCCGTCTCCCCAGCTGCTCCTGCTGACGACCCCGCCGCGTCCAAGCTGTCCCGGGATCGCGTCGCTGCCCAGGGCTGCAGGTCCCCTTGTACACAGTCCATGTCTCTCCCCTCAAGGGGGGGAGGTGATAGAGAGCGCGCTGTTCTTGGAGGAAAGGGAAGATAGAAGAGAAGGACGTGCTACAGTGACGGCCACTACACAGGACAAATGCCCTAAGCACGGTAACCAATTACCTTCTGCAACTAGTAACTGTGAGGGAATGTTCTAGAAGACAGGACAGTCAGCCGGGGTTATTCCTCCCAGCCTGTCCCCTGACCCAGACGTGAGCCAAGGGCAGCATCCTTGGGGACGAACGCCAAGGGTCGTGAGGCCAGCAGTGGCCATGAGGCGCGAAGGCACTGCTTTGGGCCGGCCCAGCCCCCGAGGGGCCTGGGGGGGATAGACCCCCTCCAGGGCATACTCACCGCCTGTGGGCAGGCAGGGAGGCGCCCTGAAGAGGGACCGGGCAGGGGGCCTGAAGCCCATTGTCCCTCCCGGGTCCTCGCTGCCTCGGAACTCGCCTCCCTCTTTTGGATGAAGCCCCAGACGTTGTCACTCTCGTTGGGAAAATAAAAACTCCCAAACCAAAATGTTCAGAGCCACTCGAGCAATAAAAATAGAATCCTTGAACACTGAGGCTGGCCCTGGCCGGGTTGGCTCAGTGGATTGAGCATCGACCTGCGGACTGAAGGGTCCCGGGTTCGATTCCGGTCAGGGGCACATGCCCAGGCTGTGGGCTCGGTCCCCAGTGGAGGGTGTGCAGGAGACAGCCGATCAATGATTCTCTCTCATTGATGTTTCTATCTCTTTTCCTCTTTCTTCCTCTCTGAAATCAATAAAAATATATTAAAAATAAATAAAACTGAAGCTGACTTGCTCGATGGCCAGTTTTATTTCCCTGTGAAAATAAAGGGTTTGTTTGTGGCTCCCATGTCGTGAGATGGAGCCTCCAGGAGCCAAGAATTCAGGCCTTGGCTTCCCCTTCACCCCTCCTGCCAGTCCCCGGAGTTTCAGCATAAAAGGCCAGCGGGTCACTGAGCGCCTTCCCGCTCTCTGTTAACAGGGTGAGGAAGCAACAAGTCTTAGAAGGTTGCACGGCGAGTGCGGACCTGCGGGGGCTGACTGCTCACTCCGGACACACGGCGAGGCAGGCTGGGGGTCGGGGCTCGCTGGGGCGCAGAGGGCAGCGTGCCGATGGCACAGCTGCGTGGTCTGGACGCCCCTGGAGGTTACTCTAAGTGGTAAAGGAAACTGATGCCCAGACTACAGGG